ATATCGGAGAAGAAATACGAGGCTATAAATCAAGATTGGATATTAAATCAAGGCAAATCTGATCATAAACTCACAATTCATCGAATCCCAACAAACACACCGCAAAGAGTCATTACATCAAATAAATCTCCAAGATACCATTGTATTGAGATACAAAGAGAGAAAAAGGCATCTAGCTACTACCTACGGACCCATAGGTCTGAGTTGAACTACTCACGCATCCTCGGAGGGGCACCAATGAGGATGATGAACCCCTCTGTGATCGTGTTCCCCTTTGACGGAGTGCCGAAATAGGGCTCTAGATTGGATCTCGTGGTTCTGGAACTTGCGGCGGTTGGAATAAAATTTCATCAACTCCCCTAGAGTTTCTGGAGCAAGGAGGTATTTATAGAGCGAAGAGGCGGTGCGGGAGGCCACCGAGGTAGGCACAACCCACCTGGGCGCACCTGGGGGCCCAGGCACGCCCTGGTGGGTTGTGCCCCCCTCGGGGCACCCCCCGCCCCAGGTGCTTCTCTGGCCCATCTGGTGTCTTCTGGTCCAAAAAATCCATAAAAAGTTTCGCTGCATTTGGACTCCGTTCGATATTGATTTTCTGCGATGTAAAAAACAAGCAGAAAACAGCAACTGTCACTTGGCACTATGTCAATAGGTTAGTCCCAAAAAATGATATAAAATGATTGTAAAACATCCAAAAATGATAATATAACAACATGGAACAATCAAAAATTATAGATACGTTGGAGACGTATCAGACATCGACGCCAGCTCCGGATCTGGAGCGTCGTCGCAGCGTAGACGTCGGAGCTGGACCCTCCCCGCCCCCGCGCAGCTTCGCCGGGACAGCACCGTCCGCACCACCCCCGCGCTCCTTCCCCCACCGGCCACTCCTCCACGTCGTCGGGTGCTAGTGCCCGCGCTGCCGGCCCGCACGCGCACTTCGGAATCCGAGGTGCGCGCCGTGAGAGGCAGTGGACACGGGAGAGGGACGCATCAGAGCAGTCCGCGTGCCACCTCCGTGAGATGCATATGGAGCTCGACGAGGACGAGCGGCTCCTCTCATGGGTCTTTCACCCGTCCCTCATGACGACGGAGACGGACACTCGCCGCCTCCGGCGGAAGAACGCCAAGGCTCTCCGGCTAGCAATAGAGCAGTCGGAGTACGAGGCGAAGGAGGCGGCGGCAAAGGAGGTTCAAGTCGCCAAGTTGAAGTGGGAGCAGAACAGTGTGTTCCGTCGTGGGGCTCATCGCCCTCTCCGACTCCGACGACGGCGGCAGCGAAGATGATAGCTGCATCTCCAACGACGACGACGGCGGCGACGACGATAACTGCACCTCCTGCTTCGAAGACCAAGACCCTCCACCAGCCGCGGACTCCTATAGCTACGCCAACGATCGTAAAGGCAAAGGCCCGGCGAGGAAGTGGTGGTCCCGCCCCCTCCCGCTCCTCATATGTTTACATCGTTTTTAGTTGTAGAAGTTTAAGAACTTGTCAGGTGACGAACTATGATCTTTTGGATGTTGCAAAGTTTGCTAATGTTTGTTTGCAGTTGATTTTGTGTTCGTTTGCAGCCAATTTTTTTTGTCCAGAAAGGCTTTGTTGTTGTTGTTGTTGTTGTTGTTGTTGTTGTTTAATCACGTAGAGTAGCTCAACATTGTATGTGGAGTATGCATATAAGGTGTCGGATATAAGATAGGCGGATGCAGAGTGAAAGATATGAGGCATGCCCAGTCAGAAACCATGACAAATATGAGACGAGCTCGACCATGTCCGTGGATGTTTAAGAAGCCGGATTTGTCCATCGCCACGGTAGATGCTCTTATACAGCCGACTCGAGCCGGACTTCTTTTTCCCCTGTAGATTTACAAAATGTAATATAGAGAAACTAGATTTATACATGGAAGGCGCTGGAGCCTGGAGGTGCTCACGCGGTCACGCCCGTCACGCGCCTTAGATTTCCCCAACACTGGGACAAATCCAATGCTGCTTCGCTCCTAACCGCTCGAGTGAGGCGATAGGGAAGGTGAACACAACTGTCTCCTTTGTTCCTTTGGGCAACGCCGCTCGTCCCTGCCTCCTCTGTTGCCTGCTCCGACGACCGGAGGGGTGGGGACCCCAGGGTTTTGGTCCGACCGTAGATAGGATAGGCTTCGTGTGTGGGGCGGCATCACTTTTAACGGTGACAGCAACGTCGGTTCAAAGAATAATGCCTCGGCTTCAGTCTCGTTTCGAAGGCATCCATGGCGGCGTCGAGGAGCCTATGGGCTCAGTCTTCTGTAGACCCTTTCGGTCTGCTGGTTTAGATTTCGAGCCGGTGGCCGTTGTCCAGGCGATGTCACTGGTAGGCGAGAGATAATGATGGTTTCAGATCTAGGCTTGAGGATTGATGGTGGTGAATTTGTCGTTCGGCCTTGACGACGTCAACGGCTGATGATGGCTTTGAGACTTGAGGAGGATGGGGATGATTCCCTGTCAACGCACCACAGCGACAAATGTCTTAGGCCAACTCCATCGCGTGACCCAAATTTACCTCAAATCGTCCGTTTATGTCCGTTTGGCGTAAAACGGATAAACCGAAGGACCCAATGCATGAGAGCATATGGACGTTTCGTCCGGTCTGTATCCGTTTTTACCCCATTTTCAGACCAAAATTGCTCTCGGTTTGGGGCCAAAGCGGACAGAAAGCGGACGTCTTCGCGTCCTCGTCGTCCGTCTGTGTCCGCCTCGCCCCCACATGTCACTCTTTTCTTTTTTTACCTGGTCCACCACGTGCACCCACCACGGACAAAATCCGGACAAAATATGAGGTAGCAGCGGTGGGTGCAGCGAGTTTGTCCGGTCTCTGTCTGACGTTTGTTCTCTCTATTTTTACTCCATCCGAACAAAATGGGGTAAGATTTAGGGTCATGCGGTGGAGTTGACCTTACCGACAGCAGGTTTCTTCATCGACTCACAACGCCATTCAGGGCTATGTGCTTGTATTCACCTTATTTGTGATTAATGACACATGCGGTTAACTTAAAAAAAGAAAAAACTGGGACGGGTCTCGGGACGAGGAGACACAACAGAAGAAGCGCGTCCCCCAATAAACAAGCAGCACGCCCGCGGCCCGCCCATCCCGCTCCTCCCACACAACATAAGCCGCGGACTCCCCTCCCATGGCCCTCAAGAAAGCAAGAAAAGTGGTAGCATCCAAGAAACCAACATCCGCCGCCATGGGCGTGGCGGAGACGCCCGATCCGCTCGGGCGCGGCGGCGCGCACAACCTCAACCCGCCGCGGCTGCCCCCCGGCGTCTACTTCAGCCCGACGCGGGAGGAGAGCGTGGCGCTCCTCGACCGCTGGATCGCCGGCGGCGGCAAGGAGGTGCCCGCCGACGCGCGGGGGTTCGTCTCCCACGCCGACATCTACGGCGACAGCCCCGACGCGCTGCGGCGGCTGCACCCGCCGGGCAGCGCCCGCGCGGGCCAGCACACCTGGTGGTTCCTCTGCGAGACCAGGTTCCAGAGCCCCGGCGCGGCGGCCAAGCGCGCCGGCCGCAAAGTCGACACCGGCGGGTACTGGCGGGTGGAGCGGAGCGAGGCCGAGGGGGGCGCGGTCAAGAGCTACTTCGGCTTCTTCCTCGGCCCGTCCAGGAAGGAGAAGACGCCGTGGCTGACGCAGGAATTCACCAGCGCCACGGACGGCGGCGCCGGCAAGAAGGGCGTGCCCGCGCTCTACATGCTCTACGTCTCCCCGCGCGCCACCGACGACGAGCTGAGGGGGATCTACGGGGAGGACGGCGTCACGGTGGGGCCCGACGGGAACAAGAAGCCTGTCCGGGCCGCCGTCCCGGCAGGCTGTTTCGACGCCGTCGTGGCGCTGCTGCCGCCGGGGAGCGTCCGTGGTCTCAGGCAAGAGCGCGTTGAGGTGTCGCAGGCGCCGCCCCCGCCGCAGCCGGCGTGTCTTCTTCGTCACGACGGCCAGCAGGGGCAGAACTCCACGGGGGCCGCATCGTCGGCGGACCTTCTTGGTCAGTACCAGCAGCGGCCGGCGGCCGTTCTTGGTCAGTGCCAGCAGCAGCCGGCGAAGACGGTCAAAGGGTAACCGGAGTGGGAATCTTTGGAGGATCTGAGTTCGCCTACCTCAACAAGGATAGTTAATTGATCTGCTAGAAACAAACGATTTCTTGGTTGATTTTGGGGATTAATTTGTACATATGGGTTCTTGCAGTTTGCTTATAACTGGAGTGGTATGCATATATGGTAGGAGTAGTTCTCTGTCTACTCTGTTTGAACGTTGATTATCTATCATGTGCTTTTCGAGATTTTTTGTGTTTGACGAAAAGAAATGTTGATTATGTGCCCAGTTTTCAGATTCCTGCACTAGTTATTCTTGAAAGTTTTAACATTATGCTTCCAGGAAGACAAGTGTAGATTGTGTCATACTCCTAGAGACCATCTATGGTACTACAGTATGTGCCATGGCAAGAGACTGTTTCCAATATAATCTGGTCTGATGCTCCAACGAAGACACTTGTTTGAAGCATCAACATTTATGCCCTAGGAGAATCTGACATGAAACATTAAGTTTTGCCCCTTGGCGGTTGTGTTTTCATGCCGAAGAACAATAGACGATATCAAGGACAGAGCTTCAGCTTGAAAATACATTGTGCAACAGTTAATATCATCACATTAATAATCAAAACAACACCCTCACACTGAAAATCATAACAACACCTTCCGTCCCATAATATAAGAGCGTTTTTGACACTACACTATTATGGGACGGAGGGAGTATATATAGATAAAAGTGCATATCACACAAATATGTAAGAAAACATATGCTATGTATGACACAGCATATCCCATCGCCCATAGCATAATCCCATTCACCAAAGGTCATCCAACATGCAACGTTTTCTCCAACTTCCAACAGCTAAGTGCCTAACAGATAAACTGACATATGCATATAGCTGACATGTAGTGACAATGGATGATCAAAGTCTCTGCAAATGCGCCAAGTCACTCAAGACACTCTGTGTGAGCTGAGCCTGCAGCACAAGGAGCAGCTGGTGGAGTCTTCCGAGCTGAATATTCCTGGAGCTGGGCTAAGATCCGAGTCAAGAGGTGCCTCTGCTGCTGCTGCCCAGCTATGATCTGCTGCTGCTCAACTTGGATCTCCTCCTGATGCACTATGACCTGCTGCTGTTCAACTTGGATCTGCCCCAGAAGCGCTAGGATCTGCTGTTGCTCAACTTCGATCTGCTCCTGCCTGACTACAATCTGCTCAGCCATGCTCCTCAACTGAGCATTCTGCGAGGGCAACACACGCGGAGTTCGCGCTTGAGAAGGTCCAGCTCTGGGTTCCTCAGGAAAATCCTTGGGCTCTGTAAGCTCAACATGATCGTTCTAGTTACTAATCAACAGATGTGCAATTGGGGCCTAGATGGTACGAGCGTCAAGAACCTACTAACCTTCAGAAGATCCAATACTCTGCTGGATATTGATTTGCTCAACATGTATGCTATAGGTACTCAAGAACGTTAAAATTCTGTGAACCCTCTCATCAATCTTCTCACACTTGATTTCAAGTACCTTAAGCTTGTTAGATGCGAACGGTTGTCCCGTCAGATTGTAGCTTCCTTCAGTCCCCATCCGACTGCTGGGTGCCTGTAAGTGTATGGAGCAAAAATACTACATTAAATCATGCATGATAACTTAAATGAGAACATATATCAGATTTACGAAGCATATACCTGACAAAGCTGGATGGTAAGCTTTTCGAGAACAGGTGTATGTTGGAGAAAGCACATGAGTGCACCAAGATTGGCCTTCATACACCAATCATTGAGTAACAAGGTTTTTAACTTGCTAAAGGTTGGGCACCACATCAAATCTCTTTTGAGGATAAACTACAGAAAATGCAAATAGGTAAGAATATCTCAAGATTTTTTTTTTAAGTACAAGGTGTGATGCTACTGAAGTAAATGAAGCTCCCACAAGTATTGAAAAGCAAAATCTGGTTTGGCCAAAGGGAAAAAAGAGGCTTGTAACCAAAGCGAAAAAAGAGGCTTGTAACTCATATCAGATTTTATAAGTTCACTTTGACCCCCCTGCATAACATATAAAAATGAACATAATATTTCTCAAATGCGAATATGTATAATTGGCCATATAAAAACAGATTTGACAGATTTATTCCAATACAAACATTAAACCTGTGCTTGCAGTTTCAGAAGTAATACAATACAAAATATGAATACAGTCACGGGAAATTAAATCCATATAATGTACAGGTGCAAGCAAACCACTTGCATAGCTGCTACTTCATAAATGTCAAATGATGATATAATGTAAGAGGCATAATGTATCACAGTTCACAAATAACAATATAAGCTGAGAAAAGAAGTAGATGCAAACATACCACACAAGGTTCAGCTATCAACGCCAAGCTTTTAGCCTCTGACAAACCATTGAGAAGCACACAATCTCCACTGTCACCATCAATGGAACTACAATTTTCACAGGTATCATCGGCACACGAACCACCAGCTTCTTTACCACAACAATCATCACAGTCGGCAAGCTTAATAGATCCTGTCACTAATGATGGCATGCTTTCAAGCAAAGGAGTCCTCCCCCAACACTCAATTAATTCCATTGTAACTAGACTTGGGACAGATATCCGAGTCCGTTCATTTGGATAAAATATGCAGTCAAGGATGGTGAGGCGTTTTAGGGACTGGGACATGATCATATCAGCTTGGACGTAGCAACCCCTCATCCATAGCTCTTCCAGCGCTGGGCAGCTCGAAAAATTCAGAATGCTATCATTTAACACTACGTTGCAAAGCTCCAACCTCGTCAGGCGCGGAGAGACGAGAGGCAGGTCCTCCAGCAGCTCAAAGCTATTGTTATCACGGCCTAGATGAACACTGAGGACTCGAGCTTGGCACAAGAGAGCATGTCGGGTCCATAAGTTGACCTGCGGTTCATCCTGGCTATGGAAAGTAGTGAGCTCTATCTCACACGCATGCAGGGGCGCGCTGCGGTCACGGAGGAGCAGCAGGTGGTTCACAAACTTGTTGAGCCTCCTAACGCCCCGCCGGTTCAGAATCATGCCCTCGCAGGTGATGCGCAGGACCGGCATGGACTTCCAGAGGTGGCGCCAGCGCCGAGCCAGCACGCAGGTCTGCACGGCCTCCGCCACCGGCAGGAAGGACAGTACATGCTGCAGGACCTCGCTCGGCAGAGCGTCGATCCCCTCGCCGCCACGCGCCTCGGGCGCCGCCTTCCGCCTGCGGGGGGCCGTCGCTTGCTCCTTAGGCATTACGCCGAACAGCTGGGGTGCGCCGGCTCTGGCCGCTGAAAAGCAAAAGCCAGCAAAGATCAGGCATGGACGGACCCTTGGCTTCGCTGCATCACCTGGTGCCTCGGAGTGAAAAATTATGAGCTCGTGGATCGTTTACCTGTAGATCTTGTGGGTTTGGAGTAGCGGTGGAATTGCGTGGCACCCTAGCAAGCCGCCGTCACCAGTTCTTGAGGCCGACCTTCCTCCGAGGAGAACGTCAGCATCCGGCCATCGCCGGCTGGCCAGAAGACCGTCGACGGTGGACTGGGTTGCGTAAATTCTTAGGTCTAGATGCTTCTGGGACCTGGAATGCTTGGTGAGCGAGCGAGGGAGGAAGAGGAAGTGGAGAGGCGATGGGGATTATTTCTGAGGGTTACTATCTAAGCACTTAATAATAAATAATTAAAGATAAATATCATCCTTTCCTCATAATTATGTTGTGTAAATATTCTGATACAAAATAAATTCAAATTCAATAAAATAGTTCAACTTATCCAGACACATTTTTTTAATTCTTTCCTCGAAGCGCCCACAAATACGCAAACCAGGTCATTGCTGCTCATGAATTACTCAATAGTGAATAAATAGTGAATATGTTGATGCATTTCGATAAAATCATCAAACTTCGTCGGATTTTGATTTGAAAGTAGGGTAGGATCACCCATGCGCTCAAATTACAAACCGTGGCAAAATCCGTCACCAACATCCTCGACAATAATGTTGTTTATCAAACAATCTATCGTCACCTCCCACAACATGTCTGCAACCCATATTTTTGCAGGTCCTCGAACAACTGCAAAATGAGCTTGGAGTACTCCAAATGCCCTCTCGTCATCCTTCCTAGGAAAAATAAGATCTTTTCTCATGCCTTGGATCGTAGATGGTCCTGATGAAGGTCACCCATTAAGGATTGAGACCATCACAAAGATAATAGCTCATGTTGTAGTCGTGACCATTGATGGTATACAGTACTATAGTTACACGGAGGAGCTTCTCTTGTACATAACCTTGCAAACAATGGAGGCCGACGCGGCACGTTGATGTCATTGTGAGACCTGAAAATCCCAAAGAAAGAATGTCAAATCCAGAGGTCCTGTGATGCAACTGCTTCACGAATCATGATGGGCTTCTTGCAATGGTCCTGATATTGCCTGATATTGCCCTCGTGGAGCATTATGGGAAATTCTTCCATTGCCATAATCCAAGGATCCGAGCATACCTAGCTATCCTCTGACTTCCGACAGTGCCATGAGTCGCGCGGTGTCTTCGACAGTTGGTTCTCTCAAGTACCCCGGTTCAAACACCTTGACCGCCCCGGTAGCGAACTTGACCATGGCTTTGAGACATGTGGTTAGTCTATATCCAGGGAGCGGTAGAGGTCCGGCAAGGCCTGGATGGCTGAGTGGTTGGTGTAGCGGCGGCATTGGTCTCAGACTACGCAGATAGAGAGAAAGGGGGAGGGACAGAGTGATAAAAGCAGGGCTCTGGGTGGTTTTTGGCTGGGTCCAGAGTGTCAGACACCTACGTGGTGGCTGTTCGGACATCCGCAAAGCTCCGCCAACTTTACTTCCGGTTTGCAGGAATTCAGACGTGCAGACTGGTCTGTGCACGTTTGACGTACGGCGGTGGATGGCACAAAGTGTCCGGACCACACGCCCCAATGGTTAGCGGCATTTTGATGGACAACATTGGAGATGCCCTTAGGGATTGGAGCTAAACAAAGGAGAACTGCACGCATATCACCTCGGCTGCTTGTATTTCTTTTTCTTTTTGGTTAAACTGGGCAATATTTTTGTCATCGGTGTGGGACTCTTTGATTTAAAAGATTTTAGAAATTTTCCCTATATTGGTTGTTTGATTTGCATGATGAATCCTGTGGATATTTTTCTAAGAAATCAATTGCGGTACATTTAATAGGAATTTTCCCTTCACTCAAACCTCTTGCAAAGAATCTTTTTATTTTACCAGTGGTATAATCAAATACACTACTTTGGTGCAAACAAAATTTTATAGGTTTTGACACCGACACATGCCACTACAATTCTGTGCTTTTCCTAATACTGACTTTTTGCAATCTTGCGAATCAAAGGTAACGGGCGCACGATGCAGTGAATTAAAATCTGATTCTTCATTACGTAAAATATTTGTTATAAGCTTTTGAACAACAAGATGTGGTTTAGTGTTTTCCTAAGGTACAAGTCATGAGAAACAAACGGTAGTCCCAGAAGAGAAATGTTTGCGACAAACAAACTCTAGTCAAGGAATGGCAGAGCTGTGGAACACAACACTACTTTGCCCTGCTGTCTTCTTGATCCCGGCCTCATGCATCACCTCGCCCATTCTCGTCGCAGCACACCAATTCCCATTTTCTAGATAAATATTCCTGATAGTCACAAACCGATCGGATTGCTGAGCACCAAGAGCCACTAGTTTTCGCCCGATCTCAGCAACAAGCTCCACATTTCCATGGAGCTTGCAAGCACCAAGAAGCGCGCCCCACACAGAAGCATCAGGCAGAAAGGGCATCCGCTCTATCCTCTCAATGGCCTCCATAAAGCGGCCAGCACGGCCTAACAGGTCCACAACACATCCATAATGGGCCATCATTGGAGTCACCTTGTATTCAGTCACCATCGTCTCGAACCAGTATAACCCAATCTCCACCAATCCTGCTCGAGCACAACCTGTCAGTAGAGCGAGAAATGTGATCTGGTTCGGCAAGAACCCTCCAACTATCATCATGTTGAACTTGACCAGTGCTTCAGTCTCTTTCCCATGATTAGCCAGTGCAGAGAGCAATGCATTCCACGTACAGACCTCCTTCTCGCATACAATCTGAAAGGCTCTCCTGCAACAGTCAAGCTTCCCGTACTTCCCATACATGTCGATCAACGCCGTGCCCAAGAACGCTGTGAGGTCAACCTCATGGCGAACGACATAAGCGTGAACGGCCATTCCGACCGCAAGCCCCTCGGCACCATCCAAGTTTGCACAAGCTGAGAGCACGCTGACCAACGTGGCCTCCGCGAGCAGTCCCCTGTTGTGTACCAAAAATCCCCTGAAGGCCTCGACAGCATCCCAGTGGCACCCATTCCTCGATAACCCAGAGATGAGTGTCGTCCATGACACCACATCCCTCACCACCATCCGCTCAAAGAACTCTCTAGCCGCAGCCACGTCCCCGGCAAGGCACAGCACATCAAGCATGGCGTTAGAGGAGGCCAGATCCGGGCTGGCCATTTCGTCGAACACCTTAGAAGCGTCACGCGCGAGACGGCCAGCTCGGCCATAGGAGCTGACGAGCGAGCATGCAACGAAGCGATCGGCCGTAAGCCCGCGGCGGAGGCACTGCGCGTGGAGAGCCGTGGTGGCTGGTCCGGAGGCGGAGGCGGACCTGAGGAGGGAAGGGAACGTGTGGCTGTTGGGGCGCGCTCCGGCGGCGAGCATGGCCGAGAAGAGGCGGAGGGGGGCGCATAGCGGGGTAACGGTGGAAGCGGGGAGGCGGAGGTGGGCATGGATGAGGCAGTTGTAGGGGAAGGTGGCGGCGGCGTGGGAGGTGGAGAGCGCGCCGGAGGTGAGGAGGAGGGCATGGACCTGGAGGAGGCGGCGAGGGGCGGAGAAGTGATCCTGGAGGAGGCGTTCGAGGACGGCGAAGGAGTACGGGGAGCCCGTCCACATATGCTAGCCGGAAGCCGGCGAGAGGAAGCCGGCGGCGTAGGAAGGGAAAGCCGGCGGTAAAAATCAAATCAAATCAAATCAAATATGCACGCGTTTGGGATTTGGAGGCCAAAATCACTGTTTTCACCATTTTCGGTAACTTTAGCACAAAATATAACCCCCCGTTGGGCACTTTAGCACAATTTAACCATTTTTTTAAACGCCAAACATCAGGGCGTTTGTGCCACACAACGCAACGCAGGTAAGTTTGGCAGTCCTAGCTTTACCGGAAACGCTATGGCCGTCGGCGTTTCTGCCCTAAGAACAAACGTCACCTCCTGGCGTTTAAAAGCACGTACGATGGTTGATAAGGTAGTTTTTAAATCTTGCATATAATTTAGAGACGACAAAAAAAAATCTACAATGGTTCATCTTTTAACCTTATTTTCAATAACTAGTCATTCCTAAAAACGTGATGAGACATATTGTGCTAAGAGATTATCTCTTATCTTATTTTAAATAAAAGAAGACAAGTATTTTTTTACGAGTTCTCTCACCTCCACCTCATCATTTATCCTACATGTCACTCTTAAAATAGCATCATTATACATGCCCTAACGCGTGCCCATGATCACTTATCTAGTCAAAGAAGAAACACTAGTAAGTTTGACGTGTCTAGGTAGGACATAAACGCCATAATTTTGGCGTTATCCTTTATTAAAAGGGTTACATCTTGAAATAAAATTTAAAATAGTTCATTTTGTGCTAAAGTTGTTGAAAATGGTAAAAACAGGGATTTCAGCTGGATTTGGATGCATCACATGACAAGAGTGAAGGAAATATGTCCTAAAGGCAACAATAAAGTTATTATTATTTCCTTATTTCATGATAAGTGTTTATTATTCATGCTAGAATTGTATTAACCGAAAACTTAGTACATGTGTGAATACATAGACAAAACATATTGTCCCTAGTATGCCTCTATTTGACTAGCTCGTTAATCAAAGATGATTATGTTTCCTAACCATAGACATGTGTTATCATTTGATGAACGTGATCACATCATTAGGAAAATGATGTGATGGACATGACCCTGTTGGGGAACGTTGCAGAAAATAAAAAAATTCCTACGATTTCACCAAGATCCATCTATGAGTTCATCTAGCAACGAGTGATAATAGTGCATCTACATACCTTTGTAGATCGCGAGCGGAAGCGTTCAATAGAACGGGGTTGAGGGAGTCATACTCGTTGTGATCCAAATCACCGATGACCAAGTGCCAACGGACAGCACCTCCGCGTTCAACACGTACGGAGCGGAT